GCAATGATGTAAAGCAGCCAGGCTGCTGGGAAATAACCAAATACTTTGGGATGAATTTATTAACAAAAACTTGGATTACAAATATAAATTTTCCTGGTGAAATTATGTACAGCACACTTGTTTGTGCAAATCTGCCAAAAGAATGTTATTAGGTTATTTCCTGTGCTTGTCGAATGTTATTCATTGATTTAAAGCTGAAATTACCGCATCTAGCCACTAGATGTCACTATGTATCATAGAATAGGATAACTAGCACCATCTAGTGGCCAAAAGCTGTGTTTTCTGTTTAAAGGTAATTTCACACAACTTAAAGGGAGCATTTTTGGGGTTATATATTTTATATACAATCTTACATTTGACCTCCATCCATCCCTTCAGTCTTGCACAGTTGTACCGGCTCCTCTCCTGGACTGAAATGGCTTCCTCTGATGTCACTGCACACTGTGAACGTGCATTAGAAGCTGCAAGTCAGATAGTGCCCGCCTCATTTTCTGACTGGGGGACGTCTGGGATCATCTAGCTCTTTTCTCCCCAGCCTGCCCCTTTCATTCATTGGATTTCAGTTAGTTTGATCATGGAGGACTTTTTAAGGCATTTTGCTATTTGCATAACCCCCTAAACGATGGAGCCCACTGCTGCTTTAGGGCCAGGGGCGGACTGACCGTTTAGAAACTTGGGCACTGCCCGAAGGCCCAGGATCAGTAGGGGGCCCCATGAGATGCCCCTGGTACCTTTTTCGTGGGCTTTTTTGAGTTTGGGCAAGGACACAGGGGCCCCATGATCTCTTATTGCCCGGGGGCCCCATGAGTTGTCAGTCGACCCCTGTTTAGGGTTAAAGGCTCTTGAAGGGAATACTGAGGCAGGGTGCTGTGATGCTTTCAGAAATCCATGTAGAGCACCCTGCTGGCCTTTCCCACCAGCCTGCAATACATAGAGAAGCACAGAGACCCAGTGATCACAGCACTGGGTATAAAAAAATGATGTAATGAAAGCTGATTTTTTTTTTTCTTTTTTTTAACAAACTTAATTTTCGTGTTAATAAGGGTGGGAGAGAAGAACCAAAATATAAGCCAATCAAACTAAGGACTTAGAAAACGTTTTCTTTTTATTTCATATTTTTGAGTTCCAGTTGCAGGAAAAAAAAAGCTCCTTAAATACCAGACGTAACAAATCCCCCCTCCCCATCATTTACTGCTCTATACAGGGTTTCAATTAGAGAGAGCTGGCTTGAAGCACACAGCTGCTTCTGGATAGGTGAGAGTGCTTGTGCCTCAAGTGGTCGAATTGGAGAATACACTCCTAGGAAGAGAATCAGAATTCACTGATCTGACGTGCACATAGCTTGTAATTTTGTGGCTTAGGATTTTGTATAAAATTTTTAATATAGTATCTATGATTTTCTACGGTCTTTATTTAACTTGATTGATACGATTGAATTGGAATGAAGGGCATGATATTGGATAGTGGTCAACCCTACGTGTTTTAACCCTTATGACCTTTTATTATAAGAAAATGTTCTTACAGAAGCACTCAGTTATATTATAATATTGACATTGAATCAGGATATTGAACATATAGGTAGGACCCTATTCACCAGCATATTGAACGTATTGTAGGGAACGAGGCAGAGAATACACAGTGTGGCGGTAGGAGGCCTTCCGAGCATGGTGTGCTGCTGCCCTCATGTGCTCAATGCCTGGTAGGACATGCTGCTCTGTACCCATAACTGCCAACACCGAGCAAGTAATTTGTATTTAAATATCCTCATAAAAAGTCAGTGGCTAGTAATTACATCCTCACTCACAGGAGCTAAATTATACACACAAAACCATGCCATGCATAAGAATAGCTTTAAAGCTGAATTTAAGTGTTCCAAAAAAAAAAAAACTCTTGCAATACCCCGCCCCCTTCCCAATACTGTATCTGCTGACTTTTAATAAACTGATACTCACCAGCCCAGATGTCCAGTGCTTTCTTCACGTGGGCAGGTTCTTCGACGGTCTTTGGATCCCTCGTGCTGCCATCTTGGTTGTGGGAGCCGGCTGTGACTTCCTGTGGCTCTCCACTGCGCATGTGTATGATCACGCTGTGTCACAATGGGGGATTGGGCAGGTGCTGGTATATGGTATTTAGGGTGTACCATGTAGCAATAATGCAATGTAACATGTTACAAAAGTGAACTTAGAGAGATAGATAGATAGATAGATAGATAGATAGATAGATAGATAGATACTGTGAATAGGAGTGAGAAAGAGAGATGGGGGAGAGAGAGAGAGATGAGAGATATATAGATAGAATTATAGAGATAGATAGATAGATAGATAGATAGATAGATAGATAGATAGATAGATAGATTATGAAGAGATAGATAGATAGATAGATAGATAGATAGATAGATAGATAGATAGATAGATAGATAGATAGATAATAAAGAGAGAGATAGATAGATAGATAGATAGATAGATAGATTATAAAGAGATAGATAGATAGATAGATAGATAGATAGATTATAAAGAGATAGATAGATAGATAGATAGATAGATAGATAGATAGATTATAGATAGATAGATAGATAGATAGATAGATAGATAGATACAGATAGATAGATAGATAGATAGATAGATAGATAGATAGACAGATAGATAGATACAGATAGATAGATAGATAGATAGATAGATAGATAGATAGATACTGTGAATAGGAGTGAGAACGAGAGATTGGGGGGGGGGGGGAGAAATGAGAGATATATAGATAGAATTATAGAGATAGATAGATAGATAGATAGATAGATAGATAGATAGATAGATAATAAAGAGAGAGAGAGATAGATAGATAGATAGATAGATAGATAGATAGATAATAAAGAGAGAGAGAGATAGATAATAGATAGATAGATAGATAGATAGATAGATAGATTATAAAAGAGATAGATAGATAGATAGATAGATTATAAAAAGAGATAGATAGATAGATAGATAGATAGATACAGATAGATAGATAGATAGATAGATAGATAGATAGATAGATAGATACAGATAGATAGATAGATAGATAGATAGATACAGATAGATAGATAGATAGATAGATAGATAGATAGACAGATAGATAGATACAGATAGATAGATAGATAGATAGATAGATAGATAGATAGATAGATAGATACTGTGAATAGGAGTGAGAACGAGAGATTGGGGGGGGGGGGGGGGGGGGGAGAAATGAGAGATATATAGATAGAATTATAGAGATAGATAGATAGAATGATAGATAGATAGATAGATAGATAGATAGATAGATAGATAATGAGAGAAAAGAAGAGAGATAAAACTTTTCTAGACTGACATGAAGCATTTCTCTGAACCCCTGATGGATATATCTGGCCATATCAAGGACAATAGATATAGATTATCCGGAGACTCTCAGATATTTTCCTCTTTCCTTGGGACAGTAACAGCTGCCTCACCAGATGACTGCCAGATCCATGCTGCTACCCTGGGGACAGATTAGTGAAAATGTCATTTTTTATTTTCCTAATTCTTCAAATACTCTTCTGGATGTGAGGATATGAGAGTGCTCACTCACTCCACAGACACTCTCCATGTTTTTTTAATCCTTCTGTATATTTTTCTTTGCTTTCTTTATTTTCTCATGTGATCTTGTTCCATTTCCCCTTTTCACATTTTACTACTCTAATAATTAAACTCTAACCTTTTATTATTCAGTAGCAATCCTTTACTACTATGATGGAATGTACCGCATTTTCCTGGACCGAGAAAGGGTATCACTTAAATTCCAAACTTTCTGCGTTGAACGTTTTTAAAAGTGTTTATCAACTATTTTATATGATTAATATTTACTGTCTGTATAGAATTCCCATTTTACAAATACGCATTTAAACCAGGTTGCTTACATTATTCAGTGTGTTCAGTGCATGCTGGGCATTTCAATAAGAGAGTCCAGCACTAGCTCTGCACTTAATAAATAATAATAACTAATATATATATATATAAAATATATATATAGCCTTCTGGTGTACATAGTTTGTAGTGTTGGAGGCTTGTTAGAAGCCAGGATGTGAGTCAGTGAGTTTACTGTAGGACAGGCTAGAGGGCTGTACAGGTTAGGCCTCTGGTAACTCCCCCTTGTTCTAGAAATTTGGAGACGTTTCTAGAAGCTAGTGGGTGAAGGCCAGACAGTGCTGATCTGCAGGAGGCCTGGCAGTGTGGCAGATGGGCATAAATATGAGAGAGCCTGGCCTGCAGAGGAATTGGGTGGGGGATGGAGATCTGAGGTGTGCTGCTGTATAGCCTGGGAGGGGACCCCAGAGAAGTGGGTTCTGCCTTCATACTGGAGATTGGAAGAATGGGAGAAGGACATTGACAGAGGGCGATCCACTGCCCTGCAGTCCACTGAGGAAAGACAGCCTGTTAGCATGGAAAGAAAAACTAGCCCAGCAAAAACCTTGAAAGCAGCTTACCCAAAGCTACAGGACACAAGGACAGTGTGAGTACCTCTACACCTCCGGGGTCTACAGGAGAGAAGGACTGCTAGGTGCTATACCCAACCAGTTCCCCCTGGGACAGTGCTGCAAGCCTGTTTCAGAATCTCTTGCTTTGGGATATTCAAAGACAGCCAGGTGGATGGGCAGTTTCTAGCTGGGGTCTCAAAAGTTCACTTAGAGGGGACCAAGTGCTCCTTACAGAGACTGTTACCGATCCATCATGAGATGGATGCCACTCTGGAGGGAGTAGAAAGTCCAGGATCCTTCATTTTTTGTACATAATTTAGGAAGTTTGTCCTCAGAGCTATGTCCTCAAGTCATGTTGGGTGTCCCATGTACCCCTAGACCCTATCAAAGGTGTTTCCCCCTAAATAATACAACTAAAAATAAGCCCATGGACTGACTCAAAAACCAGCAGCTCTCAAGGGGGTAGCTATATATATATATATATAAGCATGTGGACATCAGCTACAAAGTCTTCAACTTTGACTGTCTCTTCAAACAGCACGTGCAAGACTGGGCCATCCCCATGTAAGTGCAGGTCATACATTTCCCATCTAAATGGAAACTCAATTCTAACTTTTTTTGCTTTAGATAGATTGGGGGAAGCTAAGAACCTCTGTTGGGTTTTTATTGCTGTCTGCATTCGTACTGGGGAATTTCCCCTTATGTCCTCTTCCAGTGTCCAATGTCCGTAGGATAGGAAGTAAGGGAAATCTCAAAGGGGGTTACAATTATTATCAATTATTATACAGATTTTCACACTTGAACTGTATTATTCATCTCTTTAGTCCATCTATAGCATTGATAGGTGCTTGAATCACAACATGTCCTAGATCCCAGGGACGGACTGACCATTTAGTCACTCGGGCACTGCCCGAGGGCTCGGGGTCGGTAGGGGGCCCCATGAGATGCCCCTGGTACCTTTCATAGGCTTTTTTGGGTGTGGTTTGAGTGTGGGCAAGGACACAGGGGCCCCATGATTGCCTATTGCCTGGGGGCCCCATGAGTTGTCAGTCCACCCCTGCAAGATTCCCAACTGTTTTATAGTTGGGGTGAAGGCAGGATATGTCTCCCTGAAGAGATGGGTCTTCAAGGATCATCTAAAGGTGGACAAAGTAGGAGAAACATGGACAGATTGGGTTAAGGATTTTCAGAGGATAGGAGAAGGTCTAGAGAAATCCTGCAGGTGGGCATGGGAGGTAGTGATGAGGGAACTAAAGAGCAGGAGATCTTGAAAGGAGTGAAGATAATGGTTTGGCTGATATTTTAAGATGTGGTTGTTTACAGGCTCACATTTTTCGAAAAGGTTTATTAAGATCAAGACTTTAAAAGGGATTTTCAAAGCCAACTACACCAACAATAAATAAAACAAGGATAAAGTATCTCAAAAACAAGTTTATTAAGAACTCTATGACAGGATTACAGTATACCAATGTGAACAATAAAGAGTAACAATTAAATAGCCTGTTGATCCCATATGGAAGAAAAATATATATTGAAATATATTTTTAAAATATTCTTCCCAAATATATTGACATATATTTGAAATACTACAATTTTGGCCATATATTCAACATAGTTCAAAATATATTTTGATAACTATATATATATATTGCGTTTTTTATATATTAGAATATTAGAAAGTATATGAAAAATATTTTTAAAAATATATATTTTTTAAATATATTCTTCAGATTTTTTTCAACATATAAAATAGTCATTTTAAAACATATATTTGTACATATATCTGTATTTTCAAAGACATACAGTATATTTGAAAATGTATTTGTAGAAATATTTTTCATATGTTTTGTAATAGAAACGCATTTCAACATATTTTGTGTATATGTGTGTATATATATATATATATATATATATATATTGAATATGGCCAAAATTGTTGTATTTCAAACAGGGGCGGACTGACAACTCATGGGGCCCCGGGCAATAGGGGATCATGGGGCCCCTGTGTCTTTGCCCAAACTCAAAAAAGCCTATGAAAAAGGTACCAGGGGCATCTCATGGGGCCCCCTACTGACCCCAGGCCCTTGGGCAGTGCCCGAGTTTCCAAATGGTCAGTCCGCCCCTGATTTCAAATATATGTCAATATATTTGGGAAGAATATTTTTAAAATATATTCAAATATATTTTCTTCCATGTGGGATAACAGATCCATACTGGTCAATACTGTAGAGGATAATTATTACTAATTACTAAACCAGTTTAGTAAGTGTTCTTTGATAGGATTGCAGTATAGCAATGTCAACAAAAATCAGCATAATATATAGGCCATTGATGACTGTGCCATTTACATAGGTCCATACTATAGAGGATCTTACCTCCTGATGCCCTCATCAATGTCCATCTCCCACTTTCTATGACCACTTAGTCATAAGTCAACCAACCCATCATGTATCCATGTGTTTGGAATACATCTGTGCAAAAAACAGGCCAGTTAGTAACACTGCAGCAATGTGAGCCCACACCATTAACCAGTTTAGCCGCACCGCACTCCTTCTTTCTTGTTTTACAGTTACTCACCAACTGTTGTATCTTATAGAGGAAAGACCCAGGAAGCAATAATACAGCTGAAATCCTGGTTGGAGAAGAACCCACGTGTGGTGGCCCATTTTCCGGTAGAAGTTCGCTTTGCCAGAGGAGATGATATTTTATTGAGCCCATGCTTCAATCAAGACAGCTGCTATATGAACATCATTATGTACAGTGTGAGCAGTTTTTTAAGAGGCTTAGAAGGAATGTTGTCACAAGTTACCCTGCAGTTTCCTGTTTGGATATTCTTACCTCCTTGCTGCACTGCTTTTCCTACCCTGATTCCATTCACATGTATGGTTGGTTGTGCTCACCTTTGGCATTGCTTGCTATTCTGTGGGCTTTAATTGCCTTACCTTCCTTCCATCACTTCCTGGCCAGCCTCCTAGTTTTCTTGCCTATATAAGACATGATCATTGTAGGCACATTGCCTGAGCAACTTCACAGTTCTCTGAGCTGGGTGCTTGCGCCGTGTGTCCTGTGCTTGACTACCCGTACACCAACCCCAGCTTTGTTTACCTTCTGTGCGTGTTTGCTGCCCATCCTGACCTTGGCTTGTCTCCTGGATTTCCTTTTGTCTCCTGATGTTTGCACTCTTTATACCTGAGTGATCTTTCCTTCCTCAGCTGGGCATACCTGTGGGCTGCAACCTGGTTCCAGCTTGCTGCAAGTCCATCCCTACCACCATCAGGGGCTCTGGTGAAGAAGCAGGCTGTGGCATAGGCTCCACGCCCTGGGGAACCTCAAGTTGGTGATCTACAAGGGCTCACTACCACAAATGCTTGACAAATGTACACAATTTTAAAATTACAGAAGGTGAATGTTTGGCACTCCCGGAAGATGTAGTTGTAAGAGACCCTCAACATTTTCTAAGAACCTGGCTCCTAAAAGAAAATAGTCTAAGAACATTCAATCAGAGGAGAACATTCAATCAGAAGAGAAAGAACATTTAATCCTACAAGAAAAGAGCCTAAGGATAGCTGATCAAAGGAAGCAAAAATACCTGTAGACCGGTTTGGGGCCCGCACACTAGGGACACTGGGCAAGTAGAAATCAGTTCAATAACCATTGTATAAATTAGTGTTCCTACTACTGATTGCTGGGGTTTAGAGGCCACAAAAAAGTGCCAAAGGGCAGCAGGTGACTTTGGGCCATATGTGGGCACCCTGTAGAGATAAAGATCCAACTCTTGGAACACCACTTTAATGGCTTGAAAACTGGATCCTCTTTTTTCCAGTCCAAGGTTGTAACAGCAACACACCAATCTGTTAACCTTTTATTAAACAGGTTTCACATCTAAAACTCCATCTGGAGAATTAGAGGATGCGTTTAATTAAGGTGTAATTCATGGATTGGTATGTTGTTGGCATAAGTGTTTTTTGGCTTGAAGTGAGAGGTACCTTCTGCCACTATGGGCAGCCTCACCGAGCCTCAAGGGAACAGCGCGGGGGCTCTCACTAACTGTTTCTTCTTTGAAGGCTGGAAGTGGTTTTGTGTATACATTTACTCCCTGTTTTCTATGATCAGGACTAAAAGGCACATTTAAAAAATTTCCATATAGTAACCTTGGTTAAAAGTTCTTTAAAAGCAGAACTAAAGTAATTTATTTCTAATACCAACATTAAATTTGTGCATGTATACTTGTAAACCTGTGTTCTCTTTTCCTCTCTCTATATTTTATATTCCCATTAGGGATGAGGGTTTGGTTTGCTGCTATCCTTTTTTGTTCAAGTTAACCCTGAAGAATTCTATGGGCAGCAGAGTTAAAAGAGCCAATAAGGGGCTTTTGGATAAACCAACACCCTTACTATACAAGGGGGGTGGGGGGTGGATGGAGCAGGCATAGTGTCTGTGTATTAGATGCTATTGTAGGGAAAGGATTGGAAAAGCTGACTAGGGAGAGAATAGGGTCAGTAAGGAAACTGTAATTCTGATTGCTAGCTCTTTGACAATTTCTGTTTCCATTTCTGTTTCCTGGTGGGGGTATTTTGAGTTTTGTATTTAACCATTTCAATACCGTGCAATTTTACACCTTCCTGCCCAGGCCATTTTTCACGTTTCAGCGCTCTCACACTTTGAATGACAATTGCGCGGTCATACAACACTGTACCCAAACTAAAATTTTATCATTTTCTTCACACAACTAGAGCTTTCTTTTGGTGGTATTTAATCACCGCTGGGGTTTTTATTTTTTGCTAAATTAACAAAAAAAGGCCAAAAATGTTGAAAAAAATACACGTTTTTCTTTGTTTCCGTTATAAAAATTTACAAATAAATAATTGTTCTTCATAAATTTAGGCCGAGATGTATTCTGCTACATGTCTTTGGTGAAAATAACCCAAATTAGGATGTATTATTTAGTTTGTAGGAAAGTTATAGAGTTCACAAACTATGGCATAGATCTGATTATTGATCAATCCTGAAGTACTGACGGCCAATCTAATTTGTTGAGGTCTAAGAATGTCAGAATAGTACAGATATCCCCCAAATGACCCCTTTTTGCAGAGTAGACAGTCCGACGTACTTCATTAGAGGCATGGCGAGTTTTTTGAAGTTGTATTTTTTTGGTCATAATTTTTTCGGAAAATGAAAAAATTAAAAAAATTATTTTCACTATTTTTTTTTTATATACTGTCACCAGTGCAGTACAGCGTCATCATATAACTGGCATGGCGGTGAACAGCGACACTGACTGGTGACAGTATGAAAAAAAAATATATATTTTTTTTTTTTTTTTTTTTATTATTTTTAATTTTTTATTACTTTTTTTTATTTTTTTTTTTTAAAAAATTTTTCATATTTTACTATGACCAAAGTAGTACAATGTTACCATAGTAACATTGTACTACTTTGGGGAAGTGATCAGTATTTTCTTTTTTTTTTTTTTACACAATTTGCTTATAGCAAAGAAATACTTTGCTATAAGCAAGCATTTACCTGAATGAAATGGATTCATTCAGCTTTTTTTTTTTTTTTTTGTGCTTAGCTGTGATTTGGTCACAGCTAATCACATGACATGTGCATGTGATTAGCTGTGACCATTCACAGCTAGGCACTAGTATACAATGGATGGCATCATGAATGAAGCCATCCATTGTATACAACTGCAACGGAGCCGGTACTCGGATCTGTCATCGGTCGTGTCCGAGGTACACGCCCGGTGACAGATCGAGCCGCTGCGCCGCTCTGCATTAGTGCAAACGGCGCATGTGTGGGAGCACGCCAAATGGCGTGCACCCGGAGTGGAGAAGCAACTTTCAAGCCGCCAAACGGCCATTGGCCGGGCGGCAAATAGTTAATTAGGGGTTATATTAGTTTTTGTTGTATGTATGTTGATAAGGCCCATTTTTAGGTTGAGCTGTTTTTTTTTGTGCTGCAAGGGACTTTTTTAACTTTGAGATATTTAAAGCAAAGCATTCATATACTGACCATGTGCTATTGATACTGACATTTGTTTTCAGCATACTGGTACATCCTTTGAAAGAAAAAAAAACTAAGGGGTTTATTTACTACAGCCGAAGAGTGCAAAATCTGACTCACTTCTGCATAGAAACCAATCGGCTTCTAACCTCAGCTTGTTTATTTAAGCTTTGGCAATAAAACCTGGAAGCTGATTGGTTTTCTGTGCAGAAGTGAGCCTGATTTTGAACTCTACAGCTTTAGTAAATAGACCCCTATGCATCTAAACCACCTCCCGTTATATCATTCGCATTCAGAACACTTCATCTATCCCCAGGGATAAAATAAATGTTAGGCATAGACTGGTTAGGCCTTTTATCCCCGATTAAAAATGTCCTTTTGATAGATATGTTTACACTGATGTATCCTGTGCAATACCTTTATTTTTGTACTAAAATTCCAGCCTGTGCTCCTTACCCTCGTAGCCTTCCTCATTAGCATTGTCCTGCAGCTTGTCAATTTTACACTGCTCTGCCAGTTTTCTGGTTTCTTCATTCAAAAACACCCGCCTATGTGTTTTTGTTTCCAGCATATTTCAGCCAATTCTTCCCCATTAAAACTGTCCTGCTGCTGGTCACTTTTAAACTGCTGTGACCCACTGTCTCCTAATTCTTCTACTAAAACAATTGCCTATTGCTCCCACCAGCCAGCAGGATCAGTATACAAAGAGGTCTCCCTAGGGGTTGGTGGGGGCTCACCTGAGGTGCGGGGTCTAAGCACTAACTGCTATTCACCAGAGCTGCTGATGGTGTTGATGGGTGTAACTGCATGTTAGTACCAGGTTGCAGTCCTCAGGATCGCCCCACCAGAAAAGGGAAGCTGAGGTTCTGTTAGCAGATATGGCAGGTAAGGATCAAGCAGAAGCATAGTCTGTAAACAAGCCAAAGGTCAAAAACAAATTGTTGCAGGTTGGGTTCAAGCAGAAGTGTAGATTAGGAACAAGCCAAAGGTTGGTAACAAGTGGTTGCATGTTGAGATCAAGCGGAAGTGTAGTTGAGGAACAAGCCAAAGGTTAGTAACAAGTGGTTGCATGTTGAGATCAAGGGGAAGTGTAGTTGAGGAAGCCAAAGGTTGGTAACAAGTGGTAGCATATTGAGATCAAGCGGAAGTGTAGTCAAGGAACAAGCCAAAGGTTGGTAACAAGTGGTTGCATGTTGAGATCAAGAGGAAGTGTAGTTGAGGAACAAGCCAAAGGTTGGCAACAAGTAGTTGCATGTTGAGATCAAGAGGAAGTGTAGTCAAGGAACAAGCCAAAGGTTAGTAACAAGTGGTTGCATGTTGAGATCAAGCGGAAGTGTAGTCAAGGAACAAGCCAAAGGTTGGTAACAAGTGGTTGCATGTTGAGGTCAAGCGGAAGTGTAGTCAAGGAACAAGCCAAAGGTTGGTAACAAGTGGTTGCATGTTGAGGTCAAGCGGAAGTGTAGTCAAGGAACAAGCCAAAGGTTGGTAACAAGTGGTTGCATGTTGAGATCAAGCGGAAGTGTAGTCGAGGAACAAGCCAAAGCTTGGTAACAAGTGGTTGCATGTTGAGATCAAGAGGAAGTGTAGTCAAGGAACAAGCCAGAGTTTGGTAACAAGTGGTTACATGTCAAGTGGTAGTGTAGTCAAGGGATTAAGGTGGTAATTATACTCACCTTTATTGTTTGAAGGCATGTATTTGGCTTTGTTCCTTTCCCCCATTTATGTATACATCTGGATGGGAAGGAATGAAAGGTAA